CCCAATAGATTTAACCTTGGTGAAGGAAGGTAGATTGATAGAAACTAGTTGGGCTAAAGAACACTGATACAAAATAGAGAACTTGAACACTTGAACATTTTTAGAAAATACAAAAACTTTTAGTGTCCCACCATATTCATACTGCAGTATCAGAAGACAGTAAAAAGAAAAACACAACTAAAGAACTAATAGCTTAAACCTTTCCAAATTTAGTTTTAAAATTAATTTAGAGATAGAGGAAACATAGTGAATTCTAAGTGAATTGACCATAGATATTTGCAGAGTTGTTATACTGTAAAAAAATGCTGAAAACCAAAACAAATAGAACTGTTTTTCTCCAAAAGAGGAGAAACAGCGTCTCATTCTAAGGAATTTTAAGTATATCAACAGCTGTTCTATTGACAAAAAAAAAAAAAAAAAAATAGAGACTATGAGGAAAATATTTGAAGGAATTAATTTTAAAAACAAGAATCCAAATCCAACATAACTATCTTTCAAAGATTAATGTGAATATGGATAGTTTCAGGTAATTTTTTATACCTAGGATTTATGGCTGGCAGACTCATTAAAGATATATTTCTTTAAACTGCTACAAGTGATTCAAAATGACTACAGAAATTTGAATCTATATTTTAAAAAACAATCTGTGGTGAAGATAAATGTGTGCTTTCATTTATTTCTTCTTTATTATCTAAATTCATTTAAACAGCAGTCATATAAAATGGTATGAATGCAGTATTTTGTTGGATATCTAAAATAGAAACATCACATATAAACCAATAAAAACACAAATGCAGTGAGTGAGACTGGACTAACAAAATGCCTTAAATTGATAATTTGAAGGAATGTAAACAAATAACATAAAATAGAAAAAATAAAGAGGAGGATTAATATAGCAAAATCTGGGAACATAAATTTCCTCTCTTTTATTATTTCTTTTTTCTTAATTGATATAAACTTACACAAAGTATTAATTAAATAACATAGATGTGGGTTTATAAAATTTAATGCATAATATTTATAATATGAATGCCACAAAAAAAGAGATAAAATAACTATTCAGGAGTCACCTTTTTTATGGCCCATGGGAATTATTTTAAATAAACCTGAAGCTCAATCTGATAAACTAGTAGACCTAAACATGAAGTCCTGAAACAAAGACCAACAAAACTAAAACCACAGAATGAAAATCACTAAATAAGTAAAAATTAAGGAAATAATCACATAATATAAAACAGCAGAAAAGGGTGAATATGAAAATAAAAATGACCTATATTAAAACCACAAGTTCAATTGTATACATTTTAATTTCCATTATATGCAGACTTACAGGGGGTGGTGTTAACATGTGCACAGTGAAAAGACAGGTATTACTGGATTAATTACATGGGCCACTTACATTTTCATCAAGAGACAAACATTAAACTCAAATACACAAGTTAATATTTTAAGGAAATAAAAATATATACCATGAAAATAGAAATTTTAACAATGCTAGTAATGTAACTATACTAACATTAGAAAAATTTATGAAATATAGCTAGGCGTATAATATTTTGTAATAAATTATCTTTCTATTGGGAAACACAAATTAGAAATATATATGCAAATAAAAGTAAAATACTAAAATTCAAACAGCAAAAACAGACACAAATAAAAAGAGAACTGTACAACTCAAACATAATAGATGCCAAGATCCTCGCTTTCACTAATAGTATAATTGTTGGGATGAAATTAACAAAAAATAAAAGATATGAACAACATAATAAATCATATGATTTCTGAGAGATCTGTAGAATATTTCCAAACAGCAGAACATATCTGCTTCTTAACTGTGCAGGAAACATGATGAATAATATGTTATTCAGTATGCTGTAAAATGAACATTAATAAATTCAAAATATGCTGTCTAAAGGCCATAAAATACAATTAGAAATGGAAAACAAAATAACATTGGGAAATCAAAAAATAATATAAATATTGAAAAAATGATTTCTAAATACTCTGTATATTAATGTAAAAAGTAAGAAAAAAAATCATATAACCATTTTATACGAGAGATAACAGAATACCCAATTTAAAGGACAAAGCTATATCCATGTATAGAATAAAAGATTCACTATACTTTCATCCTTTTGGAAATGATGTAGCTTGTATTAATAATCAAATAAACTGAAAAGATTAAGTGTACAGCAAACAAAATTGATGAATTATGTTTCATATAGAAATCAAAGAATAGAATAGACTAATAATTGAGAAAATCAGTGGAACTAAAAGACAGCTATTTGAAGATTTCAGTGACACAAATCATTACTTATATTTACTAAGAAATAGAGAAAAGATTCAAATTACTAAGATCAGAAATGGAAGAATAGATATTACTGTTGTTCTTAACAGACTAAAATGATTTTATAGGAATAATATAAAGAATTTTGTGTCAAATTCTATAACAGTGATATACTGGAAAATATTCTAGAAACACTTTTTTTAAACTGATTCCATCTGAATAGACATAAAATAAGTAAACAGATTGATCTAGCAATTTAAAAAACTGTTCAAAAAATTTGGTTACATATGATTTCACTGGATCAATTTCAAAAATATTTTAGGATTAATAATCAATATTCATAACTCTTACAAACTTAAAAGGATACATTTAAACTCATTCCTTAAGGCAAGTAATAGCTCAATACCCAAAATAAATAAAACCATTGTAAGAAAGCCAACTACAGAGCACCCAGTAGTTGAAAAATTACTGATCATTTTAAATCGATTTAACTCAAGAATGTAGTTTATTAAACATCTGAAAATTAATACAATGCACTGTACAGATAGAGAAAAATCAACATGATGTTTCCAATACATGTACAGAAAATATTTTAAAGAAATTCAATATCCTCACTGTGCATTTTAGCACATAATTATAATTCTAAACCTCAGAGCCTTAGGCATGAGGAATCCTGCAAGTTCAAGGCCAGCCTAGGCTACAAAGTAAGACCATGACGCAAAAAAGATATAAAGATTGAAAGAAAGAAAGAAAAGAAATTCGATATCGTTTCATAGATCTAAAAGAGAGAGAGAGACAGAGAGAGAGAGAGAGAGAGAGAGAGAGAGAGAGAGAGAGAGAGAACTGTTTCAACCTAGTAAGTAGCATTTTCTTTAAAAGAACAGCTGAGGTCACACCTAATGGTGAAAGACTGTTACTTTGCTTTTAAGATAAGAAAGAAAGTAATGATATGTACTTTTGACACATTCATTCAACATAATATTAAAGATTTCAGATAACAGAATTGCACATGAATCATTTTAAAAAGCAATCTAGATTTTAAAAGTATAGACTATTATTTAGAGAAGACACGATTTTTTGCATATAAAATCTTAAAGAATCTATTAAAATGTAGAATAATAATCTCTAAAACATTGCAAAGTGAATAATCAATGTGGAACAATTCAGATCAGCATACAAAATTAAACACTGTTTCTATGTTAATGATGAAAAATCTGAATAAGAGATTAGGGGCTGGGGAATTAGCTCAGCGGCATAAGCGCCTGCCTTGCAAGCAGGCAGTCATGAGTTTGATTCCCGGTACCGATAAAAAGGAAAAAGAGATTAAGAACAGTTTTCATTACGATATTAAACCAATAAAATATTTAAGAATACATGTATAGTGAGAACCAATTGAATTCTAACACACCTGAAAATATAAGTGGAAAAATATGATATTATTGGTTTGGAAGATAATATTATTAGGATAAAACCTCTCCAAACTGATTTCTGATTTATGAAATCTTATTGGAATTTCAGCTGACTTATATGTGGAAATACAAATTTGTACTACTAGTAAGTGAGACAGGTAGTTTCATACCATCCTGAGGATGCACATAGAACACAATGAAATATATATCAAAGTCAAGAATTAAACTCATCGGCATATAATCACATGGTGAAAATGTAGCTATCACTTTAAGAAAATTGTTGGAGCTGTTGAAGCTGCACACATGTGCAGGGCTGTGGCACGGCCCAGGCATGGCTGAACTGAGATGGAGGAGACACCTCAATGGGGAAGACAGGCCACAGCTGAAGGCACCAGCTTTCTGGATAGTTTTCCTTAATTAGCATCATCTGTTGCTCTGAAACATCCTTGAACTGTACCCAAGATCCTTTTCAGGTATTTTACATTTTCCAATCAACTTGCTTGTTCTGATTAAATACGGGTCACTCAGGGTCGGCTGGGCAGCTGACTAGCCGAGTTACAAACTCTGCAGAAGATTTTAGTCCTTCGGGAGCTCTGAAGATCATGCCTCTTGTCTCATTCCTTTGGGCCTTCACCATGTATCTGTTTAGGGTATTTGGGATCTAGGCATAGACGCCAAAAGAAAATGATGCGACACAACTCATAGTGAACTGAATGGTTAAAATAGTGAATGTGAACCATTCCTTAACACCATATAGAAAATTACCTCAAAATGGATCAAATGTCCAAACGTTGGAGTTCAACTATGAAGTTTCTGAAATAAACAATAAACTATATGTATAAGTATTCATAATCTCAGATTTACAATTATGTTCCAGAGACTAGCTGAAAAATATTAAAAACTATATGCAAACTGGAGGAAAATATTTGAAAGTCTTTAATCTGAAAAAGACTAGAATTATATATATATATATATATATATATATATATATATATATATCATAGACACACCTGTTAGTAACTCAATTTATATGCAAGCATTCTAAATAAAAGACAACACAACAAAAAAGAAGTTTGGGGGTTATTAACCAAAATATATTCAAAATCAAAGGAAGTCTCTACCCATATCCTTAGTATTATTAAAATAAGTGTTAAAATGCTGTGTTCCAATCAGAGTATTCATTCTTTGATAGGTACGAAAAATATTATCCAATTACAATAGATTATTTCCAAAAATAATTATAGTTATTTACCTCAGAAATTCTCCTAAATTTATACATAATAAAAAACAAAAATATGACTAGAGTGCTTACTTTGGTAGCACAAGAACTAAAATTGGAATAATACAGAGAAGATTAGCATGGCCCCTGGACAAGGATGACACAGAAATTCAGTGATCCATATTTTAGGAAGGGAAAAGATTAGATATATAAATATATATTTATATACATATTATTATGTATATTAATATATATTAATATATATTAACATATATATATATATATATATATATATTGGGGGGATGGGAAAAGATTAGATGTATGTATATATCTAATATTCACCCTTCTTCCTTAAAAATATATGTGTATATATATATATATATATATATATGCAAGATAGATAGCTATACGCTAATCTCTGTTAGCTCATCCAAAAGAAGTTTGTGCTTTTATATTTTGACTGATCATTTTTCATGCCTAAATTTTGCAACCTGAACAACTTCTAAGATAACAGTGTGCAAAATATAAATTAGTGTTAATTTCCTACTATTCTTTTTGAAATTCTGGATCATTTCTTTTTTTTTCTGTTTTGATTTTTTTAAATAAAAAATCAAAGACTTATTAAAAACCAAATACAAAACAAAAACAAAAAAATATGCCTAGAAAAACCCATATAGAGAAATGTTTGCAGTAATATTTTTCATAATCAAAATGTGAACAATATCCAAATGCTCATCTGCTTTGAAAGAGAAGCCAAATGATTCTACATTGACAAGTGCACTGTTATTCAGCTATAAAAAGTGAAGAGCCAGTAGATAGTATGACATGCATAAACCTGAAAACATTATGTTAATTGAGAAATGGCTAGTCACAAAGCACTCATAGAACAGTATACATTTCTGTAAATATCCCAGGACTGTTATGGTATGAAAAAAGAGTCAAATTCAAAATTGTTTTCAACACCCTTATATTCAGTATGTGAGAGAAACTAGAATATCCCAGAGCAGGCAGTCTTTAATATTGAATGACTGACTTTGCTATCAAGAACTTATTTTAGGCATATTTCAAATATGAAATAATTTTTGTCCAGCAATCGCTTATGTAATTTACCCCACTGCCCTATTTTCACTTACTGAAGAGAAATCTTGGCTCATTCTTAAATAATATGGATTCATTTTCCTTTATAGTGTTTTCTTATATTGAAAAGCTTAATGGCTCCATGACTTACTCTGTGAAATCATAGGGACAAATTTGGACTTTCTGCTTGTATGGACTTCTAAAAATAAGAGAAATAATGTGGGCACAATTCAGTTCAGCTTTCTTACAAATTGCATGTTATCCAAGTTCATTCCTTGAATTGCTGCTAATGAAGTTATCCTATAGAAGATGACAGTTTTGATTACACAAAACTATCGCCCTGTGGGATCTTATGTCAAATACATGAATGTTGTCTCTTAGGGTTTCGGTGCTGGCATGCTGGTAAGATCACATACTATGAAAATAGTATGAATGTCATTATTATTCTTACTGCATGTGCAGAATTTAAATAATGATTTCCTCAAAATCATTAAAACAGTTCATGCACTTGCTTACATTTTTAAAATAATGACCATAGGTCAGAAATGACAAGATTCAAAACTGAAAGAAGGGAAGTATTTTAGGTAATTTAATTTCACTAAGTTAATGTTGTGTTTGAAAATTACAGTTGTGAAATTCCATTTAATGTAGAACATCAAATTTGAATTAGCATAAAAGCGTTTGAGAACAAAGTAAGATAATTCTTTGTGGCATACATGTTTGAGAGTCCTTTAAAACTCGGGATACTTTAGTATTCAGTGCAGCATATGAATTATTTCTTCCAGTGGTTGACAATGTTTTTGTTCAGCATAGTGAAGAAGGCTAGCATTTTTTAAATAAAATATTACTGTGCTCAGAAGACATCTGTCACCTTCCTCTAGAAATTTCACAGTATTTCACAGGATTTGTAGCCATTTGGTCAAATCCATATCATATCATATATATATATATATATATATATATATATATATATATATATATATATTAATACCAGTGAATGGCTTTACCATTTTACAGGGAGTTACTGTATTTTTCCTATTATAATTCATGTGAATGGTGCATTGCTTATTATACAACATCCCAGTTTACATATGTATACATCCTATTGTCCAATTCTAAATCATTTTTAAACAGTGTGTGTGTGTGTGCGTGTGTGCGTGTGTGCGTGTGTGTGTGTGTGTGTGTGTGTGTGTGTGTGTCTGTATGTGTATTTTTAACATGTTAGTTACTATTTAGGACTTACTTTATCTCATTAAAACAAAATATTAGATTTTATATTCAACTACATTCATTATTTTCCCTCCAAATTTGTTATTTTACTACTTGTATAGATATTCTGATTCCACTTGTATTATTTTGGCATTAAATATTTGTATGTAATTATATTTAATACAAGAATTTACATCCACTGAAAACAGGAAATTCATGCCTATTGAAAAATATCTCTCTTCTGGAGGATTGTGCCTTGTACTTAGATGTCATCAGTGGGTATTTAGCAGAAGTAATGAACAACCTCTCAGGGATACTACTCTATAGTTATTTTTTCTTTAATCCCATTTTCACAGCTAAAATATACATTCACTTAGAGTTTTGGCTAAACATGAATACTATTATCAGTCAAATCCCTGTTTATTTAGATATCATTCTCAGAAATACATCAATATGACAATTTATAGCCTACTAGGTGGAAGTAAGAGTTCTGGTTTTTAATTAGTGGCATTTATTTTATCACTGTGGGAAATTGGTGAGGCATTTTAATTTAAGACTCATTTTGTACTTTTCAAATTATTTTAATTATTGCAGCCTATCCAGGTGCAATATGGCAGTCATTTATAAATAAATAAATAAAATTAAATAAAATAGAAGATCATTATCATTATGTGTAATGTACTAATTACACGCAGCTCTATCCAGGCCAAATTTGATTACTGTGATTTTCCATTAATATTTTTCTAGAATTTAAAACCCAAGTACTACTACATCCAATTTTTATGGCTTTGTGAATGACTCCTTTTATTTTATCACTTTTCTTTGTTGCAGGGGAAAAACTGCGCTGTAATACTGAATGTCTTCTTCCTCTGACTCTGAAATAATTAGGAGGTCTCCTTGTTTATTTTTAAAATTAAAATGCAGAATTCAAAATAGTTATGTGAGAAGCAAATATTTTTGTATTAAGAAATCTGATATTACCTATCAAAAGGCAGCTTGATTTCAGAAATTAGTAGTTTGCATAAGTAGTCCTATTAATTGTAAGGAATAAAATGATAAAGACGTCACACATTTGAAAGGAGAAAACATTTGTCCTTTTTCGAGAAATCTGAGGTTCAACATTAAGGTTATTTATTTGAGCTTGCTCTGATTTTCTAACATGAGAGTTTACCACTATAAATTTCTTTCATAGGACTGATTTCATTGTGTCTAATGATCTTCAGTAGGTTGCAACATCATGATTGTTTAGCTGTAGAAACTGTCTTATTTCTTGTTTCATTTTATCTATGATCCACTGGTTGTTCATCCGGGCATTACTTAATTTCTCTGTGTTTATTAAATTCTTGGGGTATTTTTTGCCATTGATTTCCAGTTTCATTGTGCTGGTCTAATAGTATTGATGGTATAATTTCAGTTCCTTGGAATTTACTTAGCATGTTCTATAAGCGAGAATATGGTCTATTTTGGGGAATATTCCATACACATTTTGCAAAGAATATATAGTCTGATGTTGTGGGTTGAAACACTGTAGACATCTACTAAGTCCATTTGTTCACAAGTTTGGTTTTGATATTTCTTGTGTGATATTTTTGTCCAGTTGAACAATGTATCTGTGACAGTGTGGTGCTGAAGTACCCCATTACAATTATGTTAGTGCTTATTTGAGTTCTCATGTCCCTTAATTTGTTACATATAGTTGGATGTGCCTGTATTCTATTAATACATATTTATAATTGTTAAATTTTCCACTTGGAATATTTCCTTCATAAATATGTCATGAATTTTTTTTTTTTTTTGCTTTTCTTGATCAACCTTGACTTTAGGATCACTTTATTTGCAAATAGAATAGCTACCCTTTCTTTTTTCCATATTCCTGTTACACTAAAGCATTCTTTTCCCTTCTTTGACTTTCAGTCTTTGTATTTCTACTTAAATGTGTTTCTTGCATGGAGCCTAATGTTGGATCTCATTCTTGATCTATTCTACCAGTCTATTTTTTTTTGATTGGTGAATTGAGAACATTTACATTGATAGCTATACCTAATATGTGACTGTTTACCCTTGTCAAATAGTTTTCCTGTTGTTGGTTTGCTGTTTTCCCCTCCGTTAAATTGCCTCCCTTGCCTGTAGATTCTTTTGGTGGTATTCCTGGAATTACAGTATTCCTTATCTCTTTCTAAACTATCCTTCAGAATACTTTGGAGAGCTCTTTTGCTGAGCATGACTTTCTTCAGTAGTTCTTTATCATGGAAATATCTTATTTCTCCATTGATTTTGAAAGTTTATTCAGGGTGCATAGATATAGGCTGCAAGGTTTTATTCTTCAGGATTTAAAATACTTCACACTCTCCTTGAGTTAAGTGTGTGTATTGAAAATTTTGTTGTAATACTGATGACCATTATAGAAAATGTTTTTCTTTTTTTTAGGATAGTTTTTAACATTCTGTTCTTTTGCTAAACTTCTGGAATCTTGATTATTGTATGATTTGATGTAGCTTTAATTTGATCATGGCTAATTCAGGTTTTAAATTCTTTACTTGCCTGTATGTCAAATTATTTTTCCATGTTTAGGAATTTCGAAGACTAAAACTGAAACAATGTCTGCCACCAGGCACTGAACTAAAAAGCAAAGTGGATTAAAGATTGAAATATAAAAACAGAAACACTATGTCTGTTGAGGAAGACATAGGTGTAGGCAAAGACTTTATGAACAATTGTACAGGAACTATCACAAAAATTCAACACTGGTATCTCATTTTATTAAAATGCTTTTTCACAGAGAAGAAATCAATAACAGAGTGAGAAGACAATATACAGAGTTGGAAAACGTTTTTTCCAGATGTTCCTCAGACAAAGGATTGATATTTAAAATAAATAAAAACTCAAAAAATCATATCCTCAA